CTCGTGAATTTTTGGCTCACGAGCTTATGAGCCTATAATACTAGACTTGGCTCGGCTTGACTCGACTCAGCTCGTTGAGCTCGCGAGCTTTAATACTCATTCGGAGCTTTAGTCAAGATTACAAATGCAAACCTTCGCCGTGGCTGAAGTTGCAATAGTTTTTCACCGAATGATATTGCTTGTCCTATTTGTGCGTCACTAAATTTTCCACTAATTGGCTTCTTTATCTCACCAATAGCTACAACATTTAAGTAATCTAATTTTGAATCTTTTAAAATGAATACGAAATCTGGTTTTCGAGTTCCTAGTATTGGTGATCTATGTGTATCTTGAATACTAAGCATAAGCCCGTCATTTATAGTTCTAAAACTTTCTAATAGCGTGCATTCTCTTATAAAGTAATTTGTAAGCCTCTTCACCTTCATCTGTAGGTGAACTCATAAACCTTCCAGGTTCACCTGATTTGGTAATCGTGGTCACTTTGAGTGGAAAGTCAATTTGGTACCCTTTTTCTAGCACTTCTTTGCCCTTTTCAGTTTCTGTTTTAAAACCTAAATACAAAACATTAATGACGTTTGCAGGAATAGTTAATAGATATGAATAGTATACCCGATAAACAGAACAATAAATCCATGGCATTATATATCTTCATTAAACCACTTTCCATATTTGATTTAAGTTCCTCCTGTCCACTTCTAAGTTCTTCCTTAAGTTCATCCTGTTCACTTCTAAGTTCCTCCTTAAGTTTATCCTGTCCATCTCTAAGTTCATCCTTAAGTTCCTCAATTTTTGCCAAAAGATCAGAAGTATAACCTTGTCCTTCTAACAATTTTATTGGTTAAGAGATGAATATTTGATATCATCGTGGAAGAGAAATCAAGTCAAATCGCATTTATTTGAGTTGAGTAATTTGTTACGGCTCACTTACCGGAGAGTCATTTAATAATAATATTGATAGAATCATCCGCAATATTTTCGGTAAACACATTACGAATTTTTTTAGATGGAATTGATAATTTTACTTTATCTTGTATGTTTTCAGGAATAAGGTCAACTTCCATGGTGTCTTCTTCGATTGGAATGTTTACTTTCCATAGTACAATATCCTTGGCATCAGTATTAGCAAGTAAGTTAGGGTTCTTCTCCTTAATTTTCTCCTTGAGATCGATAACTTCTTCATTTACTCCAGCAATAACTTTAAAGGTCATCTCTTTAGAGTCACCTGCAACTAGTGATGGGATCCAGATATCCGTTTATCCGCGAACGGATATCCGTGAAGTTTTATCACGGATACGGATATCTGTAATTAAACATCCGAATATATCCACGGATATCCGAGGATATCCGAATATATTCGCGGATATCCATATTTATCTGTGTTTATCCATTTTTATCCGTGTTTATCCGTACTTATACGTATATATATTCGTGGATAAAAAAAATATTTCGCACGCGATATAATAAGAATCAAAACTAATTATCGATGGTTGCTACATATAAAATATTTTATTTTAATAAATAAATGTCAAAAACGGTACTAAGGAACCTTAAAGATAAGGATTATTTGCGTATTATATTTAAAGAACAGACCTATATCATCAAAATTGAGTGAAGCATTGTTATTTTAAATTTCTTTCGTCCGTTCGAAATTTAACCACTAATAATTCTCTCAATTTTGATGATATAGATCTGTTCTTTTAATATAATACGCAAATAATCCTTATCTTTAAGG